CACTTGGTGTATTTCAGCTTCTGAGCAAACTCCCTTTTGTGTTGATGGTATTTATAATTCCATTTCAATATAACTGGGTGGGATTCTGATGTAATTTCCAGTATTGGGATTTCATAGAATAATGCCAAGATGTCTGATCTATTAAATTGGAACTTTAAGTATCGTTTTGCTTTGGACTCTGATTTAATTCTACATGATACTTGGAACGCTGACAATATCGATACGGGGGCATTCCCACTTCTTCCAGAAGCCATTTTTTTAAAAAGTGGCTTGTATCTTCAGGATCCTGAAGATGCCAGATCCTGAAGAGGAAACTCAAGGACTTTGGCCACCTAATGGGAAGGAAGAAAGACTCCCTGGAGAAGAGCCTCATGCTGGGGACAATGGAGGGCAAAAGAAGAAGAGGACGGCAGAGAAGGAGGAGGCTGGATGGAGTCACCGAAGCAGCCGTCGTGAGTTTCAATGGACTCCAGAGGATGGTGGAGGACAGGAAGGCCTTGAGGAACGTTGTCCGTGGGGTCACGATGGGTCAAACACGACTTCGCAATTAACAACAACAAGCTTCCAATCCATCGATGGATGCCCAATTTTGCTTACCTGCATGCTGTGAGCAATCTCTTCCCGATCAGAGAGGATCTGAGAAAGATTCTTGGTCCCCAGCACATTCCTGAGTGTAGTTTGAGCCAGCAGCCGAGTCGCCGAGTCGGCGTTGGTGATGTTGGCCACGGCGAGGGTGGCATTCTGCACTCGGTAGTAGACTACCCCGTCCACGTTGACCGTCACAGAGTCTTTGGTGAGGATCTTAGGGAGGAAGAGGAGGAGGGGGAGGAGGAGGGGGAGAAGGCCCAGAGAGTCAGCGCTTGTTGACAAAACTCTTAATAAGACTGACGCAGCAGCTTATTTCCAAACAAACAAAGAGAGAATAGGCTTTGGGGAATCAGCTAATTAAAGGAGTTTCACAATCCAAACAATTCTTCGCTTACAGCTTTTCAGTTGGGGGAGCCCCTGAACCCTCACTACCTTCTAGCACAGAGGATGTCACCTAGTTGGGTAAGAAAACATCTGCAAGAAAACAGCCAAGCTCGGGGAGTCCCATGGACTCCACAGACAGAGAAACCCAGATAAGCAGGGATTAATACCAGACAAACAATCCAGCAGAAAACAATAGCTTAATCAAAGAAATAGCAAGGGGAAAAAAAACCCACATTCCCATCAACAATGATAGGGCAAGCCACTTGTAAATAAAATGAGAAAAAACCCCACTCCCTTCCAGCACTGATGATGTCACCTAGTTGAGTAAGGAAACATCTGTGAAAAAAACACCAA